GTACTTGGACTTTGCAGCTGAAACATTGCTTCCTAATGAATATAATCTTAAATTTAGATTTGGTTAATGTGTTGTAGTTGAGGAACAAACATAATGCAAGTGGTACAACCTTTGGCACTGATTAATACCTTTGGTATTGATCATCTAGATAGATAGGATGAAACAGGTCTACCCTGGGAGTAGCATGATTTTAATTTTTAATGCTCTTGAAGATAGGCCCTATGGAGTAATTAGTACTCAAAAGTAACATTTATTATTTAATTTTTAATGATTTCAAGGAACTGTCAGGTTTTAATGGCTGAATATTGATGTGATGGTATGGTGAACAGCACAGCTATACTTCCAGGTTATCCCAGCATTCTTTTCTAATTAATGAGCAGAAATCTCTCTGAATTTTGGTTTAACTTCGTTAACTGATGGCAAAGATTGCATAGGCAACCTTTACCATGAATAATTGGGGCTTTGGAATGGCTTTCCCAGTTGGTACATTGTGCACACATGCACGAATATCTGGTCAAGTAGAAATGAAAGGAAAATGTTGCTTTGGCTCATTAGGTGCTATCTGAGAATTAATTTTTTTTTATTGAGAATCTGGTAGTGTTTGCCTTGTTCTAGCATGTTCTTGTGAAATCTGTATCACTTTTTGTGGGGTTGTGGTGCAGATGCCCAAGCCTGAGCTGTGTGTGGTGCAGCCTTGTTCTGTGCCCTCTGGCACCCAGCTGGAGCCACCTGCCCATGGCTCTGCTGGATGTGCTGCTCCTCAGGGATGCTGGGACAGGGACAGCTCTGTTGGTGGCAGTCCCACGTGCTTGGCACCACTTGCTGGCCCGCTGTCACCGCCCAGTTTCTCCAGCCAGGAGCTGCTGTTGTTCCTGGCTTGCAAAGAGACAGTCAAGGACCAAACTGGCTTCCCATGCATCTGATGGGGTAAACAGAGGCTGCAATTTTGTGGCCCAGTCTCTGCTCCTGTTAGGATGTCAACCAGGGTTTGGAATAATCATCCCGATGCAGGAAGCCTTGAAAATGTCACACCCCAGGCTGCGGTGCTGCTGGACACACCAGCCACTGAATGGATGGCTGATGGCTTCTCCTGGGGCTTGGGCTGTGTGGGGTCAGGACTGGGATTCTCTGCACAGAGATCAATGGAAACCTTGAAGATCACATCCTGTGTGAATATGTGAGTGGAAAAGGCCTCTCTGAGCAATTTGTGGTTGTGGATTTTCTGCCCAGCAGCTTTTGCTGCTCGGTGACAGATGGGACATTGTGCTGAAAGCTGCCGCTTCTCAGCGCTGTGTCCCATTTCTCCGTTGGCACAACGCTGAACTGAGCCACGAAAGCTCTTCCCTGTGCCCCTCGCTGTTACTGGGAGAACATAAAGGATCCGTTCCTACCTCTCGCGTCACAGAAAGGTTCCAGTGGAACAACGCCTGTAAATCGCACGGTGTTTTTTCTCCCCATGCCTTTGACACAAGCCGCCTTTCTTTGGCGCTGAAGCGGGGTGTGTCGGACTGTGAATGCCGGCTGCAGGGCAGCTGCCGGCTGTTGGTTGTGCAGCCGCATTCCCGGGGCTCGGGCGCTGCCGGCCATGGGCGGCCCCGCCATGGCAGCGGGCGGAGGTTGCGTAGCTCCGACCTCGCAGCGCCCTCGCAGGAAGTGGAAAGCGCCGGGAGCGGAGCCGTGCCAGGGCTGGCTGCTCGCTGCACGCTCAAGATGGATGCCAAAACGGGTTAGTTCCTTTTTCCTGCTTTTCTGTGCTACACGTGAGCTCGGCTCGCTCCTGGGGCTCGCTTTTAATGGCTCTTTCTTAAAAAAATAAAACCCGAACGACCCCCCCCCCCAAAAAAAAAAAAACAAACAAACCAAGACAGGGTTGGTTGCTTGGTTTCAGGGGTTTTTAAAAAGAGGATTATCAGGTTGAATATATCAGACCGCTTGTTTTTAAAACCCAAAATGACTTGCTCAGTTTAAATATCCGAAAGGAAAAGATTTTAAAAATACAGCGCCAAAGCTATCGTAGCATTTGCTTTAAAAGCAAAATGTAACTGGATGAGTTGTGCATGTAAGGCACGGATGGTACAGGACTATTTTTAGACGTGCCAAGTGACAGTTCGTGCTTACCAAATGTAGGCAGCTGTTCTTGTTTTAGAATAGGCCTGCAAGACGTGCATTAATATTATTTATTTTATTATACTTCATATTGTGTAAAATGCAACTCAGAACTGTTTCCATAAGGAAAGATGTCGCAGGGCTGTTGCTGAAAACGGGTTTGGGTTTTTTTTGTTTCTGGTTTTATTTTTAATCTGCTGTGAATATCTTGGGTGTTAATTTAAAACCAGAAAGCTGCTTCTAGTAATGCTTTGAATCTTTTCCTTTCAAAATAAATGCAAATAACTTGTTTCTGATCAATTAGAGAATACACATGAGTGGCTTCATCTGCTTTCTTGGACTGCAGAATTACAAAGCAGTTTGTCAGTGACTTAAACACCGAATTTCCTTTGAGGAATTTACGATGATACCAGATCCGTATGTCATTAAACCTCCGCTCGTTTGGTCGTTCTCCAAAAGGAACGGAGATGAAATAAGGAAAAATGTTTTATGAGCAGCTTAACTGGCCCGGGAGCTCCTGGCGTGGGGATTTTTCTTATTGATTACCGAGAACAAAAGACTTGATGGGTCGCTAAAGGCCATTTGGCTTTTGTTGTGTGCTTTAATTCCAGCAATGCACCTTTGTTTCTGGCATTCTGGAACTGTCACATAGATGAATTACTCTTTTTACATTCCTTGTAGCTGGGATAATGCATTAATGCATGGAATAAGTGATTTCCAATGAAGAACCCACAGCTTTAAAGCTGTGCAGAGAGGAGGGAGCAGCTCGTTTCCAGAAGTAAAGCTGTCTGCAGGCAGAGGAGCAGGGCTCATACTGAACGTGTCACCTGATACAGGGGCAGCACCACATTCGAGTGCATGGATGCTCAAATTGCAGCATTTAAAAATAAACACAGTTTTAGCACTTGCAGCAAATGCTCAAAAAAAGGGGGGGGGTTTATTTTTTTCAAAGATTCCTTACGTGATTTAAGAGCACAAAATTCACTGGTTTTGGCCAGACTGGTTGTGAAGATCTCACCCAGGTTTAGCTTAGTTTAGGTTTGCAGGTTTACAAGGATTCCTGGGTCAATCACACCATTTTGTTGATGTTTAATGCAAGGTGTGCAGAGACACAATAGATTCTTTTGTGTCTGGAAGCAAAGGAAAAAGTGAAACAAAAAGTTCAATTTTGGCATTGCAACCCACACAACAACAGATCTACAATGACTTGACGTTATTTGTTTGGTTTTTACAAATATTGAGGAGCGGTTGTGTTGCTGGGAGCCTGGGCTCAGTGGCAGGAGGAGTTTGGATTGGAGGCGCTGGCAGAGCCGGAGCTGCCTCGGGCAGTGCTGCTCTATCTCTGCCCCCATATGTTTGTGCAGTCACATGGTGGCAGCGCCAGGCCCTGATCTGGCTGCCTCCTGCCTGCTGGGGTGGCTTTGGCACAGCTGCCAGGCTGGAAGGAAGGAGTAGGATGGATGTGCTGCAGGGGTGAGGCTGTTCTTTCCACAGCACTTCTGCTCTGTGATAAACTGAAGGTGTTGGTGCAGCTGGAGCCTGCCTCTGGCTGTGGGGCTGCAGGGAACTTCTGCTCAAATGGGAATTAAATATTGAGGTTAGATACTTAGCATTAGGGTGGCTTTAAGATTATGGTTTTCATCTTTCCATGTTGGAATAATTGGAAAGAATTCAGCTCTTGAACGTCTGGGAAAACACACCTAGCCCCAGGGGCTGTGGCACGTTGTACCTACAAAAGGGTTACACAGACTTTGCCCCACAGAGGCTACCAGGTGTTGGATGTTGGAGCATGACTGTGTTTTTGTCCTGCAAGAAACAACAAACAAATTCTGTTTTTTTAAATGTTTTTACAGTCATCCAAATAATCTGTTCCAAGCTGTGATTAACTGTTTTACAGTTAATTTTGGTGGTTAACTGTTTTACAGTTAATTTGGTGGTTAACTGTTTTACAGTTAATTTTGGTGATTAACTGTTTTACAGTTAATTTTGGTGGTTAACTGTTTTACAGTTAATTTGGTGATGTTTAGGGTGAGGCAGGATTACTAAATGTGCATTGCAATAGTAATACATTTCTGTAATTCATCTTGAACTCTGTCTGCACTGGGTTATTGCTGTTAACAAACAGAGCTGCAGTGGGTGTCTTGAGCCATTACCTATCCCTTGTGCAAGGGTGTACTTTGCTCTGAAGAGTGATGCTAAAAATGGCACAATATTGTGTTCTCTAATGAGGGTCACTTAAGGAAAACTAAACTTGGTTTGCAAATGAAGTCTTCTGCATTGGAGCACAGCAGATTTAGCCTGAATTGACATTTCAGGGAGAGTATTCCCTCTTGATGGCTCAGTCTGTCACCCATAATCAACATTATAAACTCCCATGGGAATGCTTCCATCAAAAGCAAACAAAATGAACTGTTAATGAGTCTTTGAGCTGTGCCTTTGCCTCTACCAGGCTTGGAAAGATATAATGGTTTCAAGATCTGTTGGTGTCTTGTTATCTGCCCTCAGAGGGAATTGGAATCAATCTCTCCAGGGAGTGACCTCCACAAAATGCCCGACAATGAGAGGAAATGAAGCACAAACTGTGGTTCTGGTGCAGAACACAGCACAGCAGCTGAAGAGATGAATCCTGACATTGCTTAAGGGCATCATTGTTTTAAAATTTAAACAATTGCATCTGGGTAATCCTAATAGCAGTAGTCCAAATAATCTGAGGTCCAGAACTGACTAATACTAAATAACCTATTTCTAGTTGTGGTTTCAGCTCTGGTTTGACAGGGGTTTGCAAGTTCCACTCTTGGTGACTCTCAGCAGTCGAGTGAATAATGAAAAATTACTGCCTTGATATGAATGCCGAAGGAGCCTTGTTCTAATTTCTTACCTCTTTTAAATTGCAGTTGTTGACCTCCTTTACTGGCGAGACATCAAGAAGACCGGGGTGGTGTTTGGAGCCAGCCTGTTCCTGCTGCTCTCACTGACAGTGTTCAGCATCGTCAGCGTCACAGCCTACATCGCCCTGGCCCTGCTCTCTGTCACCATCAGCTTCAGGATATACAAGGGAGTCATCCAGGCCATCCAGAAGTCTGATGAGGGCCACCCCTTCAGGTGAGATCTTTCTTTCCATTAAGCACAATTGGGTTGTTTTGGAGAGCAGCAGTGTTGGTGCTGCCACAAGCAGTGGGTGACACTTGCTGTTGAGATGTTGCATAATAACAAAAATAGACTCTGCACTGAAAAATGTGTTCCCCACTTTCAGATTTTCTCAGGAGATACAGTAGATACAGAAAATGGAGTGAGGTCTTGGTACAAGGGATGGAAAAATCAGAATAAATGTAGCAGGGTTTAAAGCATGACAAAAGGCGACTTTAATATTTTTGAAACTTTCAAGACTTTAAAATGTTTGGTTTAGTTTGTAGCTGTGCTCCCCACGTGCAAGGTCAGTGACAGGGTCCAGGCACCCACTGCTGCAGAACTGCCTCTAAGAGGAATTAAAATTTATTAATCTGTGTTGGAGGACTTGTAGGAGTGTGTGTTTCCTGTTTCCCTGCCAGCCCTGTCCCACTCTGCCCAGCCTTGCTTCTCCCTGTTAGTAACGAGTGAAGTGGCTCAGTCTCCCCTTGCAGGCCTCAGAAAGTCCTGTTTGCCCCTCTATCTACAGCCCTTTTATTAATTTGATAGTATTCCCATCTTCTGTAAGGCAAAGCAAAATGCAGGTTTCCCTCCATTCCTCCCAGACCATGTGCAGTGGCTCCTTTTCCGGTGGAAGCCAGTCTGGGGGACAAAATTCTGGGGAAAAACACTCTCCCATTAGGGTGAATATTCCCAGCTGGAATCTTACTTGCTTCTCATTATCTAAACAACAATTTCAAGCTTTTTTCTTAGCAAGAGCAAGCAGAACTTGTTCTACCTATGCTCTTTCTGCATTTTTTTTCTAAAAATACTGATATTCCTAAGTAGCTTCCAGACATTCTTGCCCACCATACCTGGTTGCTTATTTTTTTCTGTATAGCTTATCCAGAAGAAGGATATTTTATATCCACAAGGAGGACATTTTTACTTGAAAAATCCTGTGGGAAGAATTGGATTTTTGATGCAGGTGCTGAGTATCCTGTGGATGAGCTGGGGAGGGTGAGCAAATGGAAGCCAAGGGTGGATAGCAGAATGTAGCCTTGAAATGGCCACTTGCTGCAGTTACCATATGAAGTATTTTCATTTGTCTTGGACTTGCCACAAGGTCATGTTTAGCTTTGCCTTAAATGACATACATGGGAGCATTGTGCAACTTTCATATTAAAAAATCTCCAAAGCAGAATCCCATTAACAGAAGTTTGCCTAGTGTGACATGAGCTCCATTTTACAGATGTGCTGCACTGCTCCTTCTGCCTGCAGCGTGCACATCAGATAAATAAATTATACTTTGTTTAAAGACTCCAAATTGCCACAGCCACTGCAACTGCAGATAAGTGACAGTGGAGTGGAAAGAACATATAACCAGATAGGGGTTTATATCTTTTATGTGAAAGAACTGCTCTCACTAGCTGTAAGAATTATTTCTAGCAAATGAGAAATTTAGCTCATTTTGCTGTGCTATAGTGTGTTACAGCTTGATGGTATTTCCACAAGGGCCTTCCAGAGATGGATATATTGCTTTTGTAGGCTTTTTTCCCCTTGTTTTAGCCTGCCCCTTTTTTGCCTGGTGCAGGTGACTGAGTAAACAGCAGTGAGAAAAAACTGGCTGGCTGAGAATAACCTAGGTTAGTTGTGTTTGTCCTTTCAGCATTCCCCACCCTGTGAAGTCTGTTTCTCCACAGCACAAAAAGGAGGTTCTATCTAACTCAGAGCAGGTTTGCAGCATTTTCACCCTGAGGTTTGCTGCTGTGTCCTGCAGGGCTTACCTGGACTCGGATGTGGCCGTGTCGGAGGAGCTCATCCAGAAGTACAGCAACGTTGTGCTGGGCCACGTCAACGGCACCGTCCGCGAGCTGCGGCGCCTCTTCCTCGTCGATGACCTGGTGGATTCCCTCAAGGTGAGCGTGCCTCTGTGAGGGCACTGCTGCTGCCCCAGCTGGCAAAGCTGCGTTCTGCTCCTTGCAGGATGAGCTGTGCCTCTGCTTGAGTAAATAACCAGGTGGAGTTTGCTCTTGGAAGTGTTCAGCGCTGGGCTGGGTATCGAGTGCTGCCGCTGTGCTGGGGTAGCTGTAAAGGATAACTGGATCTACAGGGAAAGCAGAAATGAGCTGCAGCTCCCTGTTACAGCTCCTTGCTGGTGCCTCTCACAACAGGAATCTTCTAAAATAACAAGCCATGCTGCAGTCTGGGCATTGGGGATGTGTCACTGATATGTGTGTGTGTGTCCCTCTGGAAAACCTGGCTCTGGCCTAGATTGTCCCAGCCTGCTTTGGAGCTGGTTTGCTGTTTGTGTTTAGTGCACAGCTCCCTGTCTTTAAACAGGAATTCCTTTTCCACTTTCTGCTGGAGTGGTGAGGGCTGAGTGATGCCCTTGGGGTACTGGGAAGGTGGACACTGGTTCCAGCCCCTGGATTTGGGAGTGAAAGCTGCTGTTTTTAGTGATGGGAATTACTGAAATGGGGATTGCAAATTACCCAATGTGAGCAGTGCTGTGTAACAGCTAGAGTCCATCCATGTAGAATTTAATGGGATTTAATTAGAATGGCAGAGCACAACTGACTGTGAAGAATAGTAGTAAATTAAACAAAAAGTTTAAAAAAAAAGAAAATAAAAAACCCAACAAAACACCCCAAAAAACCTTCCATAATAAAAGAATTTGCTGAAAACTCTTCAGTTTTGTTCTGGGAGAATTGTATTCTCTCCTTTCAAGCTCTAATTGCCTTTCTTTGTTTTTGAAACTGGTGTTTCCTTTACCTAGTACAGTGTGTTGTCTACTTCTTTTTCCGTTTGCTTAATCTTCTTGAAAAAACTTGCATTTATCCTGCAGTAAATCCCCTTACTTAGTGCTTTACAAAGTCCTTTGAATTGTTGTGGAGCTGGGGGAGGGGTTCCTTGTGAAACTGGGGAAAACCAGGCAGGCTGTCCAAGCCTTTGTTGGAACTGTGCAATAGAAACCTGCAGGCAGATCTTGGAATCTTACCCAGAGTTTGCAGCTCCAGTTTCTCATTGTGCTCTAGGTTAAACATTTCTGGCAGTGTGTGCCAGAAAAGCTGCACCTGATGCCCTGCAAGGCTCCTGCAGTGGGGCAGCTCCTCTGGAAGCAGGAGGAGGTGTAAAAGGGGGCTCTGCTGCTCCTGGGACAGGTTTCTTTTCTCAGGAGGGAGACAGGGGGTGGATATTGGCCTGGGGGTTGTGCAGGAATCCCCCTGCTCCTGAAGGGCTTTGCAGGAAAAGGCTTTGAGGTTGTGCATTCTTTTCTGCAAAGTCACTTCTATTCTGCTTTTTGAGACATGATCAATAGTGCTGCTGCCAAAGTCCTGTTTGGATCTGATGATCAACAGCACAGAAAAACTCAGAATCCCAAGGTCACTTTGTGATCCTGCCTTGGTCTGAGTGAGGAGATTTCTCACACCGTTTGTGCAGGGATCCCAGCCCTTGCAGTAAAGGAGGAGGAAGCAGAGAGGAGCCAGCTGCTGTTCTAGAGAACACTGGTCTGAAAACAAGGCCTTCTGGAGGAATTATGGTAGGAGCAGAATTAATTCCAGCCAGAATGTCTGCAAGGCACTCTAATCACTTAAAATACTACAGTCCATAGGAAAGATGTGTTTATTTGGCTGAACTGATTCATTTTCCCTCTCTCCTTCTGACATTTAAAATGTTTTATGTAGGTTAATTAGTCTAATTTATGGTAGCTGGAAAGAACCCTTTATCAGAAACCAGTGAATGTCAGGACAGTTCACAAGCACACGTTACTGATTTTGAAGAGTTTGTGCTCGAGGAGAACATTGGGATTCCAGGGTCTTATGTAATATAATGGCCCTGGTTTAAAAAATAAAAATATCTTGGCTTGTGTAGTTTAAACATCTTCAGTCTAGGAAACCACATGTTTATGTATAACTCAAGCTACAGAGCTCTAATGTAGAAAATGTCTGCAGGTCAGTTCATTGTGTGTAATAGTTCTGACTGTAAAATCTGTCTTGTTAAGATTTTTTTTCTTCTTTATTAAACGATGCTTCAGTCAGGGAAGTCTTAAAATGGACTCTAAATGTTTATGCAGCCCAAGGAGAAATTTCTCACAGCTCTTGAGGAGTCACTGCAGAGGAGCCCTTGCCAGAGCCCCAGGAGAAGCTGCATTTTGTCTGGTAAAGGCTGTGCTGGCACTGGGCACTGCTGCTCCTGCTCAGCTGAGGCTTTGAGGAGCAGAGCTCTGTGTTCTCAGTGTTCTGTAGCAGAGAAGGGCATGGGGCACTTCTGGATTTGCCCATTTTGGTTGGCTGAAGTGGCTTCAGTCCATCAGCCACCAGGCCTTTCACTGGTGTGCAGGTCCTTGGAAGAACCAGGCCTGGATCCTGGCCTGCCTTCTGCTTTCTTTTTCTTGCCTTATACCTTTATTTAGAGGTGTTTCAGGGAAGGTTTTTGTGTTTGTAAAGGTCTCTGAGGTGTGTTTCAGGTAAGCTTTGTTGTGTCTGTGAGGGTCCCTGGGTTTGCATAGTTTATAAGGAAAAGAAAGTAGAGACCAGTAAGGAAATGTGGGATGGATAATCCTGGGAGAGCTGCTGGAAGTGTCAGAGGAGTGCAGAGGGAGGAGCTGTGGGATCAGAGTCCCTCTCCCATCCACTGTAAGTGTAGGGGATTAAACCTGCACATGCAGCAGTTCCTGCTTCTGCCCTGGGCAGACTTTGGGTGGAGAGCAGCTGGTGTAGTCAAATGTGAACTCCTGGATTTTGCTCTGTCTTGAACCATAAATTCAATGCTTACTAAAACAAATAATTGATAGTTCTGATAATTATTGGACTTTGGGATTGATTTGTGTCTTGTTACCCCTGTGCTTACATAAACTCCCATTTCTGCCCTGGGCAGAGTCATCAGCAGTGTCCTGGCTGCTGAGCTGGCTGGGTGTGCTGAGCTTCAGCAATTGTGTCCATGGGGAGCAGGTCAGGGATGGCTGGTGGGATGCAGGAGAACCACTGTAAACCATCAGGGGCTCTTTGCCCAGTGCTCCCTCCCTTCCCTCTCTGGTGGCTGTGCAGGTGCTCCAACATGGAAGTGTTTGCTCCAGTAAAATGCCTGGTGCAGAGAGATCCGCTCCAGGCTCACCCTGGCATTGCAGGGCAGAACTGGGCCAGGGAGTTCAGCAAATCTGCTTTATTCTCCTTGAGAAACCTGCCAGGATCCCTCAGCTGCTAGGAATGGTACAGCCCCTCTGAAGGTTACCTTTGTGCTCCTCCCTGCTGCTGCTGTGTCACATCTCAGAAGTGCTGACAGATAAAGAACTGCATCATTTGCAGTTAATGCACCTGAGTTTTAGACCAGTTTTGAGTAAAGCTCTTGAAGTCAGCTTGATTTTGTGGCAGGGTTCATGGAATTAAACTTGTATTGACTATCAATGCCCTTATCTTGTGGCTGGCTGTTGATTTTGTTTGGTTTGGATATTTTACATCTTTTGATAAGCTGAAATTGGATGTTGGGATATGGAAGTTCAGAGTAGCTTGGCTGCAGGCCAGTTCCAGGGTCCTGGCCCACACCCACACTGCCACCAAGCCTTGTTTTCCTTGCCAGCTCTTTGTGCCCATCCTTTCCTTGGGTGTAGCTCCTGCTGGTGGGAGAGTTTCCATCTTGGGTTGGTCACTGTGCCCTGCTCTGCCCTCCCTGGTGCCAGTGCCAGCCCTCTCATGGTGTCTGTCCAGGGTTCTGCTGGAAAACAGCCCCAGTGCTGAGCTCACAGGGCTGGGGGTCTGCTCTGGGCAGAGCAAGGAACAAACTCGGGTGAAGCTGCTGCTCCTGGCTGCTGCTCAGCTCCTCAGCACTGCTGCAACTCTAGAAGAAAGGGCTGATTTTCCTCAGGAGGAATCCTACCCCGAAATAGAGCTGGCAGGCCTGGGTCCCCTCCCCCTGCTATAGGTCAGAGGTGTGCCTGGGACACTGCACCTGGCACTGAGTGTGGGCACAGCTTTGTGTGGAGCTGGGAAGCAGAGCCTGTGTCCCACCAGGAGCTGCACAAGTGCTGTCAGCAGGGAGGGAGAATGGGGCTGAGATGGGGAGCCAGCAGTGCTGGCAGTGTGGGGCTTTGGGGATGGCTTTGCTTCTGAGCTTGGCTCTGACCTGGAGCCAGCTTCCATGTTGGAGCACTTGTCACTCCTCTTGTTCCTAAAATTTTTAACATCCAAAATGTCTTAGGGTTTTTTGAAGGAGAAAAGGTAAATCAAGGCCACCCTACCCTGTTACCTTCCAGACAGGCTTTTCCTGCTGTGTCAGGGCATGGCTGGGCCGGTGGGTGGACACTGGGTGGGACACACACAGCTGTGAGCTCCCTCCTCTCTGGCTCTGTCATGCAGCCCTTTGGCCTCTCTGAGCCTGGCCTGTCCCCTCTCTGGAGCTGTGTGTTTGCTGTGGAGCTGGCAGTGCCCAGGGCGGGCACAGGGCAGTGTTTGGGCACAGGGCAGTGTTTGGGCACAGGGCAGTGTTTGGGCACTGCTGACTCGGGCTGAGCTCAGCCCCGTGACTGCACCCAGCAGGCCCCATATCCCATTACTGCATCCTTGAGCCCTCTCATCAGGCAGCTCTGGTTACAGGAGCTGCACAGGGCTGAAGTGCAGAGCTTTGGGGCTGTTTGTTTGGGAATTTGTGTGTGCAGCAGATGGGATGTCCTGGGCACAGAGTGGTGCTGATGGGCTCTTTTTCCCTTGCAGTTTGCAGTGTTGATGTGGGTGTTCACTTACGTTGGTGCCTTGTTCAATGGTCTGACATTACTGATCCTGGGTAAGTGTTTGTTACACACCTGGCACGCCCAATAACCCTGGGGAGGCAGTGGGGTGTGGTCACTGGGAGGCTCATCCTGCAGCCTTGGGATGCTTCACTTCTAAGTTCTTTTTTTTTTTGATAATACAGCAGAACGGATAATTTTGAGTTCTGTTGTTGAATTCCCTGAGATTGCTATCTCCAGACATTCCATGGTTTATAGGCAGGTTTGTTGTGCTTGTCCCTGTCAGGCTTAGCCTGCCCTGAATGTCATTGCTGTGCTGGGACTTAGGGGGAGGTGCAGGATGTGCTGTGGCCGTGTCCCACTGCAGGATTTCATTTGCTACATCCCAGAGCAGGCTGGCCTTCAGGTGTCAGAACCAAGTGATGCCTGAGCAGCCTTTGGGAAGAATTTGCATGACCCCCCACTCCCAATCTTTCCTGTGACCAGACTTAACTGTACTGGTGGTGAGATCTGGAGAACAGCTCAGGCTCTCCTTAGTAGGGATTATTGAATTTTCTGGCCAACAATTGGTGCATGGGGCTTAATTGTTCATTTTTCTTGGACCTTTTTGTAAGACATATCAAGGTGTGGAAACCAGTCCTTGTTCTGCCTGAACACCATCCCTGTTGTCAATATTTATGCATTTGATGTGCTCTTTTCCAGCTTTGATTTCGCTCTTCAGCGTTCCTGTTATTTATGAGAGACATCAGGTGAGTGTTTAATAGAATTCACTCAATGTTTCATAAAATCATCTTGAAGCAAAACCAGAAACGAATAATTAACATTAATTTCAGTCTTCTGAAATATTTAAAGCCTTCTAAACTTTACCCAGGAACCAGGGCCAGGGAGCACGAGTTCAGTTTGAAGTTCAGACTGTGTGTGCTTTCCTTTTTCCTTCTTGGTGGAAGAAGAGGTTTCCCCAGCAAACAGTTCTGGAAAGGGCCTGATGAACTTGGAGGCCTTTTGTGCTGGTCCAGCTTTGGTTAGGACTGGAGCAGCACTGGGGAGGGTGTGTTAGTCCTGCTGTACCTTTTGGGGTTGGTATTCAGAATTGGCTTCCCAAAGCTCTGTGGAATTTGTAGCCCTGGCAAAAACAAGAGGTGGGAGCTGCTTGGCCCAGCCCAGGGCTGCTCTTGGGGAGAGACTCCCATGTAAAAGGAGTAGGGAGGAAGGAGCCAAAATAAAATACTTGTGATTAAATTATGGCCAGGGCTGTCTTGGGCAGGTCACTGCACAGGAGGGGGCAGCCAGCTCTGGCTTAGCCCTTGGTCTCCCCTTTCAACAGCACGGCAGCCGTGGGGGCAGGAGCAGATGGCAGAGCCTCCCGGGGGCTGCCCAGGCTCCTCCTCCACAGGGAAAGGGCCCTGGAGCCCCAGTGTGGGGCTTAACCCGAGTGCTCAATCCTGGCCGGGCTGCAGCCTAAGCTGGTTACCCAGCCTGGCCCAGCTAAGCAGCTTTGCTGTTCTGTGGGGCCCACAGGGGCCCAGCCCTGCACCCACAGAGTTTGTGGGACTCAGCCAGGCTGCAGAGGAGCTGTAACTTCTTTCTGCTTCAATTCCAGGCCCAAATCGACCATTACCTGGGACTCGTGAACAAGAATGTCAAAGATGCCATGGCAAAGTGAGTTGGTTTGGGTTTATTTTCCTTTGTGCTGATCACAGCTCCTGGCACACGTGGCACTCCTGTCTAGGACCAGTGTGTTCTTCCATGTGCCAGGCCAAGGAGGGAAAAGGTCTCAGACTCTGCACTGGTTAGGAAATGAGCTCCTGTATTGCTGATGCTGTACTGAAATGAGCCTCTGTTATTTCTAATAGAAATCTGTGTATGTGAACCCATTAGTGACAGCTGAGCCCCTCAGCAGGTGCAGGTGAGGGGGGAATGAGGAGTTCAGCAATGTCGCTGGGCTCTGCGTGCAAAGCTGTGTTGGGAGGGCTCTTTTCACACGTTGCTGTTTTTAAGAGTCTGTTTAACCTTTCCTTTTTTGTTACTCAAACTTAGCTTTGTCTATTTTTTTTTCCTCTTGCAGGATCCAAGCAAAGATCCCTGGGTTGAAGCGCAAAACTGAATAAAATAAACCTGAAGCAACTTATCAATAGGAAAGAAAGTTCATCTTTTAAGGGGGAAAATACTCATTGGATTTACATGGGGAGGGTCAGGGAATAGCAAACCCCTTGACATTGCAGTGCAATTTCACAGATCTTTATTTTTTAGCAACGCAGTGTTTGAGGAAAAATAACTGTTTTGACTGCCATGTGTTTCATCATCTTTAAGTATTGTAAGCTGCTATGTATGGATCTAAACTAATCATCTTTCCTTATCCTGTGTGCAGCACTGGCTAATACAAACGACTGAGACAGCTGTACATTTGCTTCAGCAGAGGTAGTTCCTGCTGCGTGCCCGAGGTGTAGAGCAGGTGGGGCAGAGGAGAACACTTCCCAGTTTGTGCACTGTGTATGGTCTGTGTAGATTGATGCAGATTTTCTAAAATGAGATGTTTTAGAAGAATATACCAGTTTAGCAAGTTTTGAAAAATCTTGCCTTTTTGGTATGAGTATAGCTGTATTGTGATTTTGTTTTATCAATTGCCAATATATATATATATATATATATGTGTTTCACAAAGCTTAGATCTTTCAGCTGCTCCACAGTGCTTTGTACTTCAGAGAACTGACTGAGGCCTGGACGAGCTCCAGAGCACACAAGCTTGAGAAACTAAAAAGTCTCTGTAAACACTGGCATCTGTTGGAAACAACAAAAGAGAAATGAACAAAGAACCTCCACACAGAGTAAAAGAAACTTACAGCATACACTTTGTTGCACAAACATACAGTAGTTGATCTTGAGCAAATAATTCTCCAGCTTTCAGACTCTGATAATCTGTGGACCGAGTATCTAATGCTGCAAATGTTGTTTGGAAACTTAAAGCCCTGTCCTGTTATGCAAGAAAATGATAAGTGAAAATTTATACACTTGCAGTTTGAGCTGTACTGAACTAAGTCTGTGGAATGCATTGTGAAATGTAAAAAAAATCCCAACAAAAAAGGAAAAAAAAACCAACCCCAAAACCCCAAGTATCAATAAAGCTTATAGACATAAAATGATACCAGTATTTGGCTTTCTTGAGGCAAGTTTAATATATTTGTGTTTATTTGAAGTTCCTTGTGATAAATTTCCATTGTCCATGGTGGTGGCAGTAGTGTCCGAGTAGAGCGGGTGCAGGGTGGGTTTGTCACGGTCCCTTTTCTTCCTCTGCAGCCTGGAGGAGCTGCTCAGGGCACCTCCAGTGGCCCAGGGAGCTCCAGAGGTGTTGGGTCTTGGAGGTTTGAGACAGGAATGGTTGATGCCGTTTTCAAGTTTGAAGGAAATAAGTCCCAATAATTTTTCCAGGTGTTGATTCTGATTTAAGAGCTGGACATTGCAAACTTGTGTACAAATTTATTTGAGATGCAGATTTTAACTGAATGGCATCTTGACCATTGAAAAATAGAAATTCATGCATTAATATTTCATTTTCCAGTAAAATACAGCATTCATTCTGAGCATTTTATACAGGAAGCCAGACCATAGAAACATACAAACCGTAGGTAAGTGTTTTCCTGACAGACACTATTGCTTGAAGATATTTCTCACATCACTGTTGATTAATTCATTCTGCCACACAACTGGTTTTGTTTGGGATACAATCAACGTGGAAGGAAGGCAAACATGAGTGGTACAAGACAGGCAGAGGTGCTCACTGCTGGCACCACCTGACAGAACGGGATTTGACCCCGAAGGTTCTTGGAAAAAAGACTGCATAGGGACTCGTACTGTGTATCTGACAAACTGCTCTGCTGTATAGTCATATAAGGCATTAATAAATTCAATTGTAAAAAAAAAAGGTGATTCTTTGAGGTTGCTGAAGCACTTTGTGTGTTAAACAGACAGAATCCACTCCTTTAATGGGATGTTTTTGCTACTTTTCTGTGCAGTGGGCAGCAGAAACGGACTGGAAGGAAGGTTCCAGAGTTCAAAATCCTATTGTCCTGAACTGGGACTAAAGCACTATTGCTTTTCAGAGACTAAATGTAAGTGTAAATGTTTTATTTTGGCCTTTATTTCTTTTAATTAAGAAAGGTAATTTCAAAGCATGGATGTTGTTCCATGCCCAGAATCTTGAATAGCAAAATACGTATTTAAGCTATTTCTTTTTAAACTTTCTCCAGTTCCACCCTCCCTTGAGTTTTTGTTTTTGACTAAATGTTCTAACAAATAGTGAAGGGTTTGAGTTGCCTTTTGGGAGTATCTATCTGTCCATGGTTCCACTTTTCCATGTTGGCAGCTCTCCTCTAAATCAGCTGTCCCCCAGGCCAGGACAGGGGGCTCTGTGGGGTGAGGGAGAAGCAGGGACAGGGAGAGGAGCCCAGTCAGCTATGATGAGCTTTTCCCAAAAACAAAAGCTGCATTTCCTGGCATTAGAGGATTTATGATTCACTTACAAGCAGCATAGACTGGCTGGAGGGCACACAGCCCTGCCATAGGGACATTCCAGGGATTCCTTTGGAGGCTTAGGATCCCCCTCCAGAACAGGAAAGAGGGAGTGATGGAGGCTTTCCCACCAGGCCAAGATTCTGGCTGGCCACTGCCTGTAGGAGTGTAAAGCACATTTTCCCAGAAAGGGGAGCATGCAGGAACACTTGGGGAATGACTCCCTCAATCTTGTGTTCAAATGTCTTGAACCAAGTCTGTCCAAGCCCTCTCACTCACTGCTGGAGTTCAGCCTGCACTGCTGGCTGCAGGAGCAGCTGCCCCGGAGCTGGAATCCCTCACTTGGCCTTCTGTCAGCACAGAAACAGCAGGGAATTCACTTGTCAAGGTATTAAAAACCCAAAGCAGAAAACAGGGATCATGTAAGTACCCAGCTGGAAAAGGTGAGAATGGTTTAGCCCTCCTCTGGGTGAGAGTCATAGCACCGTGTGTGTGTGGAAAGCAGGTGGGGGGAGGCAAGGCTGCAGCCCAAACTACTAGAAAATTATTCCAAGGCACTTCATGGATAGAAAATTCTGCCAAATATATATATTTAAAAATAAAATGGACTTAAAAAAAAGGGATACTTTGTTCCTTCAATTAATGAAAGCTGAAGGGTTATCTCCCCCCTCCCCAGCCTGCTCATTAAATGCTCCCAGCTTTACTGAGTGCACCAAATTGGAGTTTTAAGCAGGTGTGGTTAAAACCCACCCACTTTTTGAACTTTGTTCAAGCCACAAATTAGGAAATTAAAGGGCCCAGCATTTTGTCAGCATTTTCTCCCTTTTCAGACATGGTTTGAACAACACAGTATTAGGCAAAAGCAGCTTTGTGAGTGAACTGTTCATCCCTTTGGGACCCCCAGGTTACCCTTCAAACCTCGGCTTCCTTCGCAAGGGTGTCGGGCTTTCCACGGCCAGCTCCCATTCCCTTTTGGTAGGTTGGGATGAGTGATCTGGAAATGTCAGCCTGCAGCAGGGCTGGGATTCCTGCAGCCAGGGGGGCATTCCTGGCTGTCCTGGCCAGCACAGCCCTCGCTGGGGCAGGACAGCAGCAGCCAGAGGCTCCTCAGAGGCAGCGCCACACAAACACACTGGGGAGACAGGAGGGACAGCAGGGATTGGCCGTGGGCACAGCGCAGTGAGACAGGAGCAGAAAATGAACACATTGGGTGTGTGAAGTACAGACTGTGTGTGTGTGAGAGAGAGAGAAGTGTACTGTGCACAGTTGCTCTGTCTGTAATGTGAGCACTATGTGTTGTGTGTGCAGTGTGCACAATTTGTGTGTGTGTGTGATACTGTGTGCACTCCATGTGTCTGTGTTTGTGTGTGTGCTGCGTGCCTATATTTGCTCTGTCTGTGCTCTGTGGGCAGTGTCTGTGTGTATGCAGTATCTAAGTATATCTTTGGGCATTTCTGTGTGCACTGTGTGTCTGCACATGCAGTGTGGTGTGTGTGTGTGTGTGTGTGTGTGTGTCTGGGTGTATCTCTGTGTGTGCCCTGTGTAGGTGTGTGCATGTACTCTGTGTGTGTGCCCTGTGTGTATCCATGTCTGCTGTATGGGCACACTGTGTGCCCATGTGTGTGCACATGTACCATGTGTGTGCAGTGCATTTGTGTGTGAGATGTGTCTGTGTGGCTCATGTTAGTGTGGCTGTGTGGTGTCTGTGCATGTGCACACCCGTGTGGCTGTGTCCCTGTGTGTGTGTGTGTGTGTGTGCCTGGCTCTGTGTCCCTCTGTGTGTGTGTGTGTGTGTGTGTGTGTGTGTGTGTGAGTGTCCATGGCTCTGTCCCTGTGTGTGTGTGTGTGTCCCTGGCTCTGTGTCCCTGTGTGTGTGTGTGTGTGTGTGTGTGTGCCTGGCTCTGTCCCTGTGTGTGTGAGTGTCCCAGGCAGCCCCAGCCCGTTACCTGCAGTCGTCCCCGCCGGTGCTCACCACGAACTTGTCATCGTGCGAGAAGCGGATGTTGGTGACATGTGCCGAGTGCCCGAAGTAGCGCTTGTGTTTGGCCTGTGGGACAGGAGAGAGCTCAGGGCTGGCACTGGCACAGCTCTGTGCCCACAGCCTGGCTGAGCCCAAGGCCTTTTCACTCCCTGGGGATGGACCCTGCTGTTGGGTGCTGTAACACCGAGTGCTGAGAGCTCTGGGAAAAGCAAAAGCTGCTCAGGTGAAAATAAGAGAGGCACTTACAAATTTCTCTGTGCATGGGAAGTCAAACAGCTTGACCAGCCCGAAGTCATCTCCTGTCACTATGTTCAGGCCAGCGTGGGTCACACAGGCACAGTTGACATCGGCTTTGTCTGCATTGCGTGGCCAGATCCCAATGACTTCGTCTCCAAGAATGCTGTTCCAAAATCAAGGTAAATAACATAGATCAGACCACAAGACTTAACTTGCTGCTGCTCTTCCACAGGGGGCTGAGCCAATACAGGTCAGTAATAAAAAACTGCTGCATTTAAAATAAAATTGTCCCTTTACATGATTGCCCTGAGCTCATCATGGAGACCAGCACACTAATACATCATTTTTATGTGACTCTTAAACAATCTCTATCCATCAATCCTTAGGTTTATTTCCCATGAAACCACTGGCATCATTCTACACCAGCACCTTGTGCAGCTCTGGTCTCTATGAGCCTTCCCCCAGGATTCCTGACTGCACTGTTCTCTCTGCTGTGAGTTCCCAATGTCCCCTTGTTCTCAGGTGTTCTACCCTGGCTTCAGCTCTCTGTAATCATTTACCCACAGAGTCACTGCCAGAGGCAGCTGCCCCTCCCACCAGCTGTCAGGAGGCCTCTGAAATGGGGAATTAGGGGCAGATTTTTATGCCAGCAGAGCAGTCAGAGCAGGAGGATTCTCATTTACCTTCTTCCCAGCCCTGCCTGGCTGTCAGCTCTGCCTTTGGCCTGTCCCACTTCTCACAGGAAGAGCGAGCACAGCCAAAGTTCTGCACTGCTGGGGCAGATTCCTGTGTTCATCCACATCAGGAAATCCATTTCAGTGACACTCAGAACTCCTCCACACAATCAGTGCAGGTTTCCAGGCCTCCTGTGCTGCTGTGGGACAAGGCTGCCCGGAGTGGCAATGAGCCACTGTGGCTCTGTGACAGCCCCCAGTGTAATTAACAGCATTAATTACTACAGCCACCAAACAGCCAGAGCTGTAAAACCCCAAGGGTGTCACAGGAGCTCTGGAGAAGCAGAGCCTGGGGGTGCTGGCAGGTTTGCCAGGCCCTGGGGACACCTCAGCACTGACACCCCAAACCTGTGACTGATCCCAGTGCTCCCCTTGGCTGTTACCTGGTCCATGTGGCCCAGGTGATTTTCTCTATGACTGCAGGGTCTGTGATTTGCTTTCCCAGGGGCACCTCGTGAACCTGACGCTTGTAGGCACCTGTGGATACCTGGAAGTGGGAAAGGAAAAACCTGGAGGCTGCTATAAACACATTGCTTTCTTCAAAATTCCCAACAGTCTCACCAGGTTAATCAGCAATTAAACATCTAGGACAACATTTCTCTTTTTTCCTCATAATCTGGAATTCATCACATGCTATATAAAGGAATAACAATGTTACAGGATGATGATGGAAGGAGATGCT